TTAATGGATACCAGTTTCATGTACAAAATTCAGCAATCCTGCCTTAAGTTCTCTTTTCTTTTTTTTTTTTTTTCCTTTTTCCAGTGCCGGGACGGAGCCCAGGCCCTCACCTTGGTTCTTGTTGGTTGGGCCATCATAGCTGGCTACCCCCACCTGCACCTACCAGGCCTCTCCCAGGAGGCTGCCTTTCCTTCTCACAGCTGAGCACCGACACGGGATGAGCACTAATGCACCCATCAACGTAGGCATCAGAACAGAAGAACCCGCCCCACGTTTCTCAAGCTTGAAGACAGAGAACTAAACATGCAATGTCTTAATCCAGAAAGAGACAAAAATCTCCCCAGCAAAGCCCCAAAATGTCACTGTCAGCAGTCAGCAGAAGTTCGCTTGTGAACTTCACTAGAGGAGCATCCAAGCCACCCACGTGGCAGTTCCCAGGCAATCAGAGGGCACCCGGTGTTTCCAGGCGGCTGGAAATGCTGAGAATTCTGCGCTTCTGCAATTTTCCCTATTAATCAGGTCAGGCATTTGACACTTGAGGTGGCAAAAAACTGTTTTAATGGCAACATCCCTTTCCCGCCTTGCCAATGACCCCAGCCACGGCATTCCTCTGTCCGCACAGGCCACAGCTGCTTAATCTCGGCCGCCCCAGGCTGCACCTGTGAATCAGACCAGCCTAATCACACTAACAGATGGCAGAGGCCACGCAGCCAGCTAAGAGCTGCTATCACTTTAAATAGCGTCTAATGTTTCACAGGCACAAACAGAGGCCCTCCCGGGGGTAGCACCTCCAGGGACAGCTAAAACTTGCCCTTCACCACCACAGAGCGCCCATCTCAGGGCCAGAGTGGTGTCATTCGAGAGCCAATTACAAAAACCACCGGGTGCAAGATGAAAAAAGCAAGGCACATGCTCCCTCGCTGGCACCCACCGGACACCCACTGGGCAGCTGGCTCATGGTCACGGTGGAAACCCAGAGGTCTGCTGAGCCCTCAGAGGGAGGATCCATGCCCAGCCTGCTCTACCTGCTGTTGCACTCACTGCTTCACGTGGACTGTGGCGGCGAGCTATCTGGCAGGGCACCTGACCAGCAGGACCACACAGTTGGCAGGCAAGCCAGCCAAACCAAGCTGGGGGAATCTGATGTCCCGATGGGCAGCAAAGGCGCCCACATGCAGTATCACTGCCGAGCTGCAGACAACTGCACCAACGTGCTCACTCCACCCCCAGTGTGAGCCCGGGATGCCCACAGGCATCAGGCCTATGACCCACTCCAGCATTGCCTTCTGCCCTGAGTCAGGTTTTGCAGATCAATAAAAGAAGTGCTCTCCACTGACTGCGACCCGCGGCACCAGCCAGGGCCACTCACAGCCCCTGACTCTTGGCCTCCAGCTCCACACCAGAGCCAAGCAACTAAAGAGGCCAGTGGTATGCTGGGCTGTGTCAGTGTTTTTGTATTAAACAATACTCCCGTAGAAGGCCAGGACGAATCACAGCATATGACATTTTTACTCGCCTCATTGCCCAGTTTCACAACAAAATGGCTCATGGCAAACTCTTGTCCAAGGAAGATCTACACGTGCAAATCCTAAGCCAGTGGATCTCACAGTTCCATGTGCATCAGAATCACACCCAGCTTCTGCTTCAGTGAGTCTGAGAAGGTGCCTGAGAACCTGCATTTCCAACAATCCCCTCCACCCCCAGCGATACTGATGCTGTTGGCCCAGGACAACACTTTGAGAACCACGGCCCTAAGCTTCCTCTTGCCTGAAAGTAAGAACTCTCATCCACCAAAACATTTCCCTTTTTGCCTAAGCAACTGGGGGACTCAGGGACAAATCCAAACCCTCACTTACGTACCACATTTTTCCCAGGTGTCTAAGATCTATTGTTTCTTCTTCCTTTAAAAAGCCCTGGACTAAATGAGAGTGTTTAAAACAATTGGGACAGGCCCACCTGAACACCCATCCACAGGCAAAATATCAGACTGAGACCTTACAAAACTTAATTTAAAATTGATCATGACTGATATACAAAGAACTCAAAAACTTAAACAATAAGATAACAAATAACCCAATCAACAAATGGGCCAAGGACCTGAACAGACACTTCTCAGAGGAGGACATACAATCAATCA